CAATAAACATGGGTGTGCATGTATCTGCTTGGATGTCAGTTATGGTCTCTTTGGGGTATATTCCCAGTAGTGGAATTGCTGGGTCAAATGGTAATCTCTATTTGCAACTTTTTGAAAAAGCACCATACCACCTTCCAATGTGGTTGTACCATTTTACTCCCACCAACAGTGAATAAGGGTTCCGGTCTCTCCACAACCTCACCAGCATTTGTTACTTGCTGTTCTGTTAAATTTTGCAATTCTGACTGGGGTGAGATGATATCTCATAGTTGTTTTAATTTACATCTCTCTTAGAGCTAGGGATTTTGAACATTTCTTCATGTGCTTGTTAGCCATCTGAATGTCTTCTTCGGTGAAGAGAAGGTCTTCTTCTGTTCCTATCCTGTGCCCACTTTTCTATTGGATTATTTACCTTTATCTTGTTTTGGTGACCGCCCAACTTTCAGATGCATAAGAAACAACTGAAAATATGCTGGCTTGGATCAGATGGACCCCAGCCCTTAACCTTAACCTTACCCTTACCCAGCCCTTCCCCTTGCACTTTAAAGAGGTCCTTAACGTAGATTTTCTCAGTGCAACATGTCTTCTGATTTCTTGACTGCTGCTACCAAGATTGTTGGCTGTAGGTCCAGTAAAATGAAAGTGCTGACAACTTCCATCTTTTCTTTGTTTATCATGATGATGCCTTTTGGAAACATCATGTAAATCAGTAAATATTAGTAAAATGAAATTGCTGTCAACTTCCATCTTTTCTCCATCTAGCTTGATGTTGTCTATCGGCCAGCGGTAAGGATTCTGTTTTCTTGATGTTAAGATGAAATCTATATGGAAGGTTGTCGTCTTTGACCTTCTTCAGTAAGTACTTTAAGTTTTCTTTACTTTCTGAAAACAAGGTTGTGACATCTGCATAACACAAGTTGTTGATGAGTCTTTCTCCAATCCTCATCCTACATCTTTCTTCATATAGTCCAGCTTCTCAAATTATTTGCTCAGCATACAGTGGATAGGTATGGATAAAGAATCTAACCCTAACCCACATCTTTCCTGATTTTAAACCATGGAGAGTTTCCTTATTCTGTTAGGAAATGTTTCTTGATCTATGTATAGGCTTTGTATGAGCACAATTAAGTGTTCTACGATTCCCGTTCTTCTCAAGTTAACTATTATTTGTTTAGATGCTGTTGTTTATTGCCGTTGAGTCACACAGGACTCGGTGACCCTATGAACAAAAGACCAGAAGCCTTTCTATAACTATCGTCACTTACCAAAGTTCATAGAGTTTCCAGAAGCATGGGTGGATGCCACTTCTACTTCCAAACCTGTCTTAAATGGGGAGCTCCACCAAACTCTGTCCACTACAGGCAACCATTAGGGTATTTGACACCCCAATGGCACAAGGTTCACCATCATCGCAACTCAAGTTACCTCAGTACAGCATACAGAAGAGTGTTGCACCACTTAGAAGAATGTTCCTCCAAAATAAAATAACAACTGACTTTTAAATACAAAGGCCACCCCGAGGTCTTGTTGACTCTAAACATGAGGCTCAAATAAAACACACTCATTCAAATACCTTGGTAAAGTCAATAAAACAAAATAGACATTTCTCTGGTATCTTCTGCTTTCAGCCAAACCCCACCTAACATCAGCAATGAATCATCTCTTATGCCATTGCCTCTTCTGAATCTACCTTGATTTTCTGGCAGTTCCCTACATATGTATTGTTCTAGCTATTTTTGAGTAATTTTCAGCAAGATCTTACTTCAGCAAGATAATTTCTGCACTCTGTTGGATCCCCCCCCCTTTTTTTAGTACAACATAGATTTTAATGAATGATGAAGATCATCCCCATGGGCCAGGCAGTAGAAGAGACATCCAGGATCCAGCAGCAGCCTCAGCGCAGCTTCTGCGCCTCTCGTCCTGACTCTAGAAAGGTCAGCACATCACCCTTGTGCACTGGCCCTTTCATGTTGTGGATGATGGAGCAACTCGTGTTGTCCACAAACTCCACGCTCACCTGCACGCACTGCCCTTGCAAGCTGGTCCTGCCTAACACCTTGGTGACTCTGGCCAGCTTGATACGCTGCACATGGCTGGTATCCATGGGCAGACTGAATCCCTTTTTTTAAGGAATGGAAACAAATATGGATCTCTTTCAGTCAGTTTGGTCAGGTGGCTGTCTTCTAAATTTTTCAGCATAGACTAATAAGCACAATCAGGGCTGCAACATTTGTTGAAACGTCAACTGGTATCCTATCAATTCCCGAAGCCTTATTTTTCACTAATGTCTTCAGTGCAGCCTGAACTTCTATCGTCAAGGGCTACTGGTTCTTGATCATATGCTACTTCCTAAATCGTTCAGTGTGGACTAATTATTTTTGGTACAGTGAGTGTATGTTCCTTCCATCTTCTTTTGATGGTTCCTGCATCTTTTAACATTTTGTCCACAGAATGCTTCAGTATTGCAACTTGAGGTTTAAATCTGTTCTTCAGTTCTTTGAACTTAATAAATGCTGAGTGTGCTCTTTCCTTTCGGTTTTCAAATTCCAGCTCTTTGCACATTTCATTATAACACTCTGCTTTGTCTTCTTGACCTTTGAAATCTTCTGTTCAGTTCTTTCACTTCAGTATTTCTTCTTTTTGTTTTAGTTTCTTTCCATTCAAGCAAAAGTTTCAGTCTCCTTTGACATCCATTTTGCTCTTTTCTGTCTTAAATCTTTTGCTTTCTTCAAGGACAGTGTCCTTGATTTTATAAACTGATCTAGTCTTTGGATAATAATGTCCATGGCATCAGATATTTTCTTGAGATGGCTTTTAATTCAGTTGGAATAGACGCAGGTTGTATTTTCATTTTCATGGACTTACTGTACTGAGCTTCTCTACTGATTCTTGACACAAATATAATCAATCTGATTCCTGGGTAGGTGAAGTGACTAAGGATTATGCAAATGAGTGTACTAAGAGGCAACTGGTTAGCTTGTGGTTGCACTGGGAAACGCTATGCTTTGAAATTGATGAGAAATTTGTATGATATAGTTAGCCAAATGCACAGAGTTTTCTGTGAAGCAGTGAAGAAAAAAGAGCAAATAGACTAAAGAAGATATAGAAAGAAAAGAGGCAAGAAACTTCCTAAAAGAGCTGTAATATACATTAAGGGCTGTTAACACCAAGAAAGCATCAAGCCTGTGGACAGCTGGTAGTGACAAGCCCAGAGGGTAGCGTAGCAGAGTTGGTGGAGACAGAGAGAACAAAGCCAAGGGAAGCCCTTCGTCAGGGGGCAGCGAGGAAGTCAGCTGAGTAGGAGAGAGAGTATGGCAGAGAGAGAGGGGTCTGTCTGCTTAAATAGCCAAGAGGAACTGAGAGAGTTGGACTGCACCACAAAAGGGAGGGATGTATTCTTCTCTTCAGGACAACCTTGAAGACTTTTCCAAGGTCCTTTCTGACCCCGAGGTGCAGCACATTGATCCTCACCCCAACTGGTACCTTAATGCTTCCTTAGAAAACCACTTAACTGTAAGGATGGTCTGTGAGCTCTGTGTGGCCCTTGCAATGAATTACTAAGCCCAGTAGAAAAGCAGAGAGTGCTGTGGAAGGGGACAACTGATGTCAGGCTTGGTAGGGAAGAAAACCCAAAACTCAAACATTGCAGAGTGGACCTCTATCTCATAAGGATCAGTCTTGGGCTGATCTTGTCTGACATTATCTTCCCTGAAGTTAGACACTACTATTACCAGAATCTAAAACAAACTTATCAAAGTCCTATGATAGGAATTCATGGAAACCAGTAATATTTTAGTATTGAAGCTTTCATTCACCATTTTAAAAAAAAGGGAAAAGCGGATACACGTATATAGTTAGGGAATTCTCCTACCTTGCACTGTTCTACTTTATTTCCAGCTTCATCCATCTCTTCCTTCAGGGTATCTATTTTTGATGGAAGCCCCTGAAAGTTGGTTCCTGAAGATTTGTGAGCTTGGTTCCACCTGCAAAGTAAGGGAGTAGCCACAATCTGAGAACAAGCTGTAAAACTGAAGGATCTAGGGATTCCATGCTCCAGACTAAGTCTACCTGGAATGGCTATGAGTACCTACATTCAGCTCTCTTTACATATACATTTTGGAATGGAAGAGACACAAACTGACATTAGCTTCTCATCATGCAGGGCACTTAGCATGTGGTTACTGGTTGTCTCACTTGATCACACACTTGCCATAGCTAACCTGAAATGAATTCCACTCATGTACACCAATCCTTGGATCCATTTTTCTTAGTGCATACTCATGGAGCTCTTGCCAACTCTTCTGCTTGGGCTGGAGTGTTCCTGTGCTACCAGGAATCCATTTCTGCTCCTAAGAGCTCCTGATGTTACCCTTGACTATTATCCTATTCTGTGGTCACTTTCAGCAGATAAAAGCCTTAATAAGGAGTTACAGAGTCAGCAACAATGAAATCACTATGAAGAATGTATTATCTAGGGAGCTCTGGTGGCCTAGAGGAAAGAAGCCATGCTGCAATTCTGAAGGTACACGTTTTGAATCCACCAGATGCTCCACTGGCGAAGGAGAAGCAATCTCCTCCTGTGCCAGTTTGATCTAATTAGAAGGTACACAACAAGGAAAAAAAAACACAAAAGAATGCAATATCTACAGCAAATCTGAAACACATTGTAGAATATTTATATTCTTTTTGTGTAGTTATTATTCATTGTTGTTGTTAATGTAGTAAGTTATTTTATTGTTTAAGTTGTAAGGCAAAAGACAAAAAAATCATACTACAAGAAAAATGGGACAATCACAAAACTTTCATGTGGTTTTCAAGTGTATTTTGGCCTTCTATTTGAATATGTATGTGTCTGCTGTTGTATAAAGTTCTTACAGTTTGACTTTAAACACAGCTATCCTGAAGATGCAACACGAAAACCCAAGCTGCAACTTGTTGAGGGTCCTAGAGTGCTGCATTGCCCTTTTAAAAATAACCTTCAATGAATGAGGAAGACCAAAGAATTGATGCCTTTGATCTGTGGTGATGGTGAAGAGTGCTGAATGGGTCACTGACGGCCAAATGAATGCACAAATCTGTCCTGGAGGAAATGCAATCAGAGGTAAGTAAGGTTGGTGAAACTCTGCATCACATACTTTTGGGCTTGCTGTCAGAAAGGACCAGTCCTTGAAAAAAGACATCACGCTGGCAAACGGGTCAGCAGAAGAGAGGAAGATTTTCAATTAGATGAACGGCAGCAATGGGCTTGAGCACGGCAGAGATTAGGAGGACAGGATAGGACAGGGCAAGGGTTTTTTGTTGTTCACAGAGTCAATGTGAGTCGAGTTAACTTAGCAACAGCACTTTCCTCCAGAGAAAAGCCATGGTAATAAGTAAAAATAAGAAGGAAAATATTCAGTTGTTTTGGTTTCTCAAACACTCATTGTGAATAAGTGAACAAGATCATGGACAAAGGATGAAGAAGCAAAGGTTGAAAATTCCTACAGGACAGGTATACTGGAGGTATAATATTCCAAGCAGATAAACATCTATCTGCATCACTCAACCAACTCCAGTGAGGGAACGTTCACTGCCTTGTTAAGTCATTCATTTCAAGTTCAAATAATTAATTGCTACACCAGGCTTCCTTATCTTGTGCAACAATGTGCCTGAGGGTAGCCTCCAGTAACTGGTTGTGTCAGTGTCCACCCTGATGTGGAGGGTAGATGCTAGTATTCAGAGTCCTTTTATCTACACTGGCATGAAGTAATAATACAGAAAAAAAAATAGAAGTCCCTCCATTATCTGTACAATAAGGGCACAGTCTCCTCTCAAGGGAGATTTTACCTTCATAACTCCTGCTCCCTCTTTAACTCTTACTGAGGAGTTTCTGCAGTTAGTGTCCCATAGAGCCCGATACACAGTAAACACTCAAATGGAATTTGTCAAAAGACATCAATGAGCAAAAGAAGAGGGAGGATTTGAGGGCAATCAGACATGAGCAAACACACAACATACAAAGCTCAATGTTAAGCATGCAGCAATAATATGGATCTTTATATTTATGTTCTAATCACTTCATAGTTTCTTCCAGAAACTCTATGAACTTGGAGAAACAATGAAAGTTATACAAGTGTTCAGATCTATCGTTCACAAGGTCGCTGTGAGTCATCTACGACTTGACTTCACTTAACAACAACAATAATCACTGCATATGCATGTGAAATGCAATGCAGGACCATTACATTTACTTTCAAATATCTTATACAAAAGTGAAAGCTGGACAATGAGTGAAGACTGAAGAGCCGATGCATGTGAATTACAGTATTGGTCAACGATACTGTATATGTATCATGAAGTGCCAGAAGAACACACAAATTTGCTTTGGAAGGAGTCCAGCCAGACTGCTCCACAGAAGGAAAGATGATAATGATGACCCAATAAGACTTCACTTCACAAAGTTTGGACATGTTATCAAGAGAAGCCAGTCCTGGGCATGCTAGGTAAAGTGGAGGTGAGATGAAGTGGGGTTCAGAAAAAAAAAAAAAGAGGAAGATGTTCAATGAGACGGAGTGACCCAGGGCTGTAACAGTGATGCAGTCTGAAGGGAGCAAAAGCTGCACTGCTAAGCCAGGGGCCACACCTCTCGGGTGGCTGGAATCCAGCGGCAGCCCCCAGGGAGAAAGGGGAGCACGCAGCACCCCTCCACCCCCCAGCTAATGGTCTCAGAAACTCAACAGAGGGTCAGTTACGAATTCATTCCAACTCTACAATTATGAGTTCATTTCTGGTTTGGTGAGGTTTTTCCCTTTTTGTCCACTCATTGGTCTCTTATCTACACTGGGATGGCAACTGGCTGCTGGGCACATGACCCAACAGCACATTTTCAGAGTTTACCTGGCTCTGACTGAATCCCAATCCAACACCAATTTAGCAAGCTGTTTCCTCTGTTTCTGGATGTTGGGAATCTCCACCTAGAAAGAAGCACATTCCAAAATGGGATATGTGTGTTTCAGGGTCTTTAGCTTAACATTTTAGCAATATTTATTTACAAATTTCTCCTCTTAGGTACAGTACTCCACCCCCTAATTTACTTGTTGTATTTACAAAAACAAGTGTACACGAGAGCCAATGACAGTCAACATGACAGACACAGGTGAAGCATTTGTCACTCGGGCCACGCTGGTCTTGCTTCTTCCATGCCCCACAGCAAAGTACCCACCTCAGCTATGCTATAAAGAGGGTCCACAATCTCTTTCTCAACAAAGACTTCATGCTGAGAGAGCTCTAGAGCTAGCTGATTCTCAGCGTCCCCGCACGTCTCCAGCATTTTCCTTTAGGAAGAAGGCACCATAGTGAGTATTCATGAAATCAGGTACTTGAGTCCCAACAATGAACTACTCTCGCTGCTACATGAGAGGAAGACAGCAAAGATTGCAGCAATAAAGGCTTTAAAATAACTATCACATTAAGTCCACAGATGTGAGATTTAAAAGGAAAGACTTTCAGGTCTTGTGTATATATGTTAAGGGGGGGAGAGTGAAAAGAGTGGGGCCATGTGTTACTCAAAGATGAGGTTCCAAGTTAGGTAAAAATCAAAGGCTTTCAAAATTATCCTGAAGATATTTCACATCACATGTAAAGCTCATGATATGTTGGTTCTGGTGGAGTTTTTTGTTTTGTTTTGGCATCTGTTAGTGATGTCCCTGGGTGGTACAAATGATAAATATGCTTGGATAGCAAGCAGAAGGTTGGAGGTCTGAGCCCACCTTTACAAGTACCTGAGAAAAATGGGTGCCCTGGAAAACCTTACAGAGCACAATTCTATTGTAACACACATGGGGTTGCCAGGGGTCAGAGTAGCCACAAAAGCAACAGATTTGGTTATTTTGGTTTATGTTTGTCACTAAGTCTGGTCGGCTTCCTCCAGAGTTAAAGTAGATACACCCAGCCCACCCCACTGATGGCATTAGGCTCCCGGGAAAGAAGCCAACTCTTACCCCAAGAGAGAATCTTCCAGCTGAGTTGATGCTTCCTGCATATTCTGAGCGAGAGCTGTCAGAGGGAGTTTTTTCTGGAAGGCATAAAACAGTAAGTTTTCGTCATTATTACGACACTCATTTCCCATTTTCTACTTCAGAGCATCCATCACTCAGATTTTCCTCTCTAGTGAAATTACCAGCAGTCAGGAAATCAAAAAGCGTATCGCGATGGGAAAGTCTGCTGTTAGGGACCTCTCTAAAGTACTCAGGAACAACGGTGTCTCTCTGGAGACTAAGGTGCGCCTGATACAGGCCATGGTCTTTGCAATCGCTTGTTATGCATCAGAGAGTTGGAGAAGGAGAGTGGATGCTTTTGAGCTGTGGTGCTGGAGAAGAGTACTCAATGTACCATGGACTGCCAGGAAAACAAACAGATTCATCCTGGAGAGGATTAGACCAAGCTACTCCTTGGAGGCAAGGATTCTGGGGCTTCGTCTGACATACTTTGGACACGTTGCAAGGAGGGACGGGTCCTTGGAGAGGGACATCATGCTTGGGAGGGTGGAGGGACAGCGCAGGAGGGGAAGACCCTCTATGAGATGGATTGATTCAGTGAATGGGGTAAGCGGGATGGGTGTGTCAGAGGCAGTGCGGTTGGCGCAGGATAGAGCAGGGTTTAGGGCTGTTGTGCATAGGGTCGCTATGAGTTGAAAATGACTCGACGGCACATAACAACAACAACAGTGAAATTACCCAGCTATGTGACTGTTCCTTTGTGTTTCAGTTTCCTTATGCATGTAATATTATTGTTGTTGCTACCTGACATTGATTTGAATATGACTCATAGTAACCCTATGAACAACAGCTCTGAATCTTGTCCTATCCTGTGCCATCTTCACAATCAGACACACTCAAACCCACTGCTGCTGCCACTGTGTCAACCCATCTGGTTAAGGATCTTTCTCTTCTTCACTGTTCTTCTACCTTTCCAAGCATGATATCCCTCTCCAAGGAGTAACCTCTCCTAGGACATGCCCAAAGTATGGTAACCGTTTTCATGTTTTAAGATGCGTTCATTTTCAATTACTTAGAACATGCAATAAACAATAAATGACAATTGCTAGAATCACTAGTGATGTTACTGTATATTGTCAAGTCAGAATCAATTAATAGCTGAACCTTAGTGGGTTTTCAGAGGCAGTGATCAATTACACGGAAGACTGCCCACCTTTCTCCTTCAGAGCTTCTGGTGGATTTATCAGTAGTAATATTATTTAATCAACTCATACTCTCAGTTCATTGCCATTGAGTTGGAACTAATTAATAACTAACCCTCCACCAGGTTTTCAGAGGCTGTAAATCTCACAGGAGGAGACTTTGCCTTACAAGCTACTGATGGATTCAAACCATCAAAAAGGTGCAACTTCTCTCTTTTATACAATTTTTTATTGTGATTTTAACAAAAGTTTACAAAAAGCAGATTTCCATTCATTCACAGTT